GGTTGTGCACAACCACCAACCCACCGCCACGCACTACTACGCTGCACAATAACGTACTGATGATGTCACCTCGGTTGGTGATGAAACGTTTGCAATCAAATTGCTCAGCTCAGCTCAGCGAACAAGCCAACGACCACCATCTACGCTACCTGAGCTACCGACATTTTCCTCTATAGTTACCGCCCCTGTTAAGGTTGCACCTAACCTGAACCAGAATGTAAACATTCTGGTGGATAACTTCACTGCCGATGTCTGCAGGTAGCCCATTTCCACCAGTGTGCGAACTTCTACGATCAAGCGGTTTAGTCGGTTGTTCACTTCGATCAATCTGAATGCTTTAAGCCAACAGGCGTAATTCTTTCGTCTACACCAAAAACGTATCCGAAAGACCGGTTTGTAGAGATTTTTCCTATTACGGCCAAATGAATCCAAAAAAGGGAAATTTGAAAGGATATCCGAGGACTGAGTTGTGTGTGCAACATCTAGTTTAGCCTTCTTGATATAAGCATGGTACCAATGGGAGGGATAAGTGACCTTTTATCCAGTACATGAAGGATGGACTTGAAGCGCTTCTATAACTCGGCAAGGGGTTAAGTTGTGAGAAACACCTCCAATCTAGTTGCACGAAATGTTCACAAAATCCGATCTTTTGAGAAAAGGCAGACGACTGAACTATCGTGCAAACTAAGACATGCTAAACAAGGTGAGTACTACATAATATTTCGACTGATGAACCTTCATCAAACTGCGTACTATTTCCCCGAATGGTGACTAGCGTTTACAACGCAGTTGTCATGCCTGTGAACACTAATAACTAACAGTTTGAATGCACACATTGTGAGCAAATCAGTGACGTTTCATAAACAGGTTACCCCAGAGAGACTGTTTTGAGCTTCTCAACGGTGATGCATGCATGATGGCTATCATATACTGTGACAGGCCGTTGCCATGCATAGGTGGGATCTCAGTTCATGGGTTCAAAACTGAAGCAAGCAATCAGTGACGTGCAAACAGACGGTTGCGTGCGGTTGTAGGGTCTCATCGTTCTCGTTTGAACAGTCCTAACTTAATGCGACTATTCTGTTAATTGCATACCCAAGTGTCGAAGCTTTGGATTCGATTTATGATCGTATTTGAGCTCACTAGTATTATTTATCCTTGACTCAAATCTCGAATATCTGGCACGTAAGGCCAGAGTGTTACACTACTCCACCAGGGTGATTTGGATGCAGTTTTAAATACCGCGTTTGAAAAGGCGAGATTTCTGATGTATGATCGATGCGTCTGAGTTCTAATGGGGGAAACACTCGAGTCCATGACTCCTTATCTGGGGGTAATATTCGTGCCCGGACCAAAGAAAGACCGTTCAAAAGAGTGGTGTGAAAGGAAGAGGGCTTCGATCAGGATGAAGCAATCTTTCTCAGTGGCTCATATTTTGACAAGAAAATGTAGACGGGGTAAACTTGTTTTAGACCTGGATGAGTTCCGGATGTACTAATTTGGCCAGAGGAGCGAAGCCAGGGTCCGGAATGCAACCACCAATAAAAGCAATACTAAGTAGAGCGAAATGAGCGAAGCAGATTGCCCGGAAGTAATCCCACAAGATGCATGCTTTCAATGACAACGGATTAGTCAAGTAAAGCTAGCGACTTTCACATGAAAAAGGAATTTCCGATCGTAATTAAGTATAGCTGTTCACTCTACATTCATTCGAATGAAAAGGCGGAAGCACTCTACCCCTCAATGAGATAAAAAAGGCACTGACTTCACATATAACTTCACTGAAGTGTCAACGTTATTAATAGACAGTTCCTACTCAGGCCATGATAAGAAGCAAGAGAAAGCGGTACTTTGACGAAGCACACTCATTTGCAAACAAATTTGGTTTTGCGAGATACTCACCCGGAACCCAGCTGAATTTCTCGTTTATGATGTTTGCAAACGGGTGTACTTCACTAATTTCGTACCATTTAGGTTCAACTAGAGCATAGGGTTGACGGAACTGATGAGCCTCAAGAAGGGTGCAACCGGTTGTGGGCTGTCGAAGAATTTTCAGCAACCTTATGAGTAGTGTATTACGTCTAAATCGGCACTTCCTGAGAGCACTGTTTTACCAGTGTTGAACTAAGCTATATGGTATTTGGAAGTGGTTTTTTGGTATGCGACTCACCTACACAGGCTGTTCGCAGATGAGGTAGGATGTACCGGGTAAGCAAGCTGTGATGTGCGAAAGAGGTAAACGAGGTCCGACGAGCGGTCTTTTACGTACTAAACACCGTCCGTTATGTTGAAAAGCTGATGACTCATTCAACCGATGCACTGACTCATCATTAAGACTACATTGAAAAAATTAGTGGCGCCCCCTTGGTTGGTTTGCCACACGCCATCGGTGTGTATTGATTACTTTTTTGTCAGTTACTAAATGGAAGTTGTGGTGACCAGAATAAACGAACTGAACTAGACTGAACGAAAAACGTTTTCTCGACCCATTGAGTTACTACTTCAGGTACCTATGCTCACACTGATTCTGCCATTCAAAACACTCAGTTTATCCTCGCTATTCAACATGTTACCCTCATTGCATGCAGGTAATTGATAAAATCGAAGACCTACTAAAGCGAGGAAGTTCAGCTAACCCATTAGCTTGCTTACGGTGAGTTTCCGATTGAGGCCCCAAATACAGGAACAGATGCACCGGTTTCGGCGCAAGGCTTATTTCTAGGGTGTACTCTGTTCTTACCATTCACTGGCAAAATCAGATATCCAGATCTTTACATACAAACTACATGCTCAAAATTAGGCCGTATGTTATCAGTTCTCGTGAACCCAAACACTATTATGTCTGCGTCTTACAAATGCTCACAAGCTGGAGAGAATTCACTTCTGCACTTTCAGTTCGTTTGCCCTCTATATGATAACTCGTATGAGATGATACTCACTCAAAAGTCGGTTGTGCAGTCACAACATACTACACTCCGCATCAATTACCCGAGATTCTCCTTTATTCAGATACACACGACAACAATGCAGGAGCTCACCATAAAGCGCCAGCGGCCAATAATATTGAGCGACATGACAAACGAGTGAACGACATAGAGTTATCGGCTTATGAGAAACCAGTCACAAAGATATTGTAGTAATTTCCGCAGTCAGTTCAGCACAGGCGAACAGAACGTCAGCTAAGTTGCCGCAAACCACTTTATTCTCTAAACAACTCATTGCACGTCTGATTCGCTGTGGAACAACTTGAGGCTCAGCATCCCAGTAGGTGGCCACATGTAATTAGGTTAATCAGAATTATACCTGGGAAACCATCCAAATAAACTAAAGCCATGATTTGCACTGCAGTCCCAATCCATGGAGGTAGAACTATCGAAAACGCGGAATAAAATGTGTGGGCGGAATTTGTGAGAAACCAGAAAAATAGTCAAAGCACACGAGGAACCTGGGGACGAGTCAGCTCAATCTCATCTAGCAGCTTGCATTTCCATCCACACCTGGGATAGCTTCAGATATTCTTCGGCGCTCCATTTGTACATATATGTGGTGTCTTCAGGAGAGGACCTGATTACGAGTACGATCTTATGAGTATTTCCAGTAATTCTTAACCATTTTCTTACCGCAACCCATTTCATCAGAGCTAGAGCGCGAAATCCCATGTTTCCGGTCGATATGTCCCACCATCGATTTGCTTTTCGGTAAATTTGTCAATATTCTTGGTTATGATCCACTCAATGGCGTGTCAGGTTACGACTGTCTATTGAGTTTCTGCTTTCTCAGCCAACAAATCTACAGCCCTTGTGGTGACTATCTGATTCAAAACTCGTCACACAAATTGTTAAGCATCGAATTCAAGTGTCCAGGAAGGACTCTGTTAATGCCATGCATTTAGCCTCAATCGTTGAAGGGATAATACCGACGGTATTTTTATGATCACGTCAAAATGGGCATACTTCCTATGTTTATGAACCGATCGGACCAAGCAACTGAATTGTCCACGATGTATAGTACGGTGTTGAACTCTATTAGTACTAACCTACAGGAGCTGAGAACCGGCGGGAAGATCAGTTGCCAGAATCTTCTCAAACCCTTCGTTCGAACGTTTAGTATAATTTGTAGCAGCTTCGCTTACGTTAACTAGAGCTGTAAGCCATAAAGAAACCAAAGCAACTAGTCTCACAATTCATGTGCTCCTGAAATTTGACGTGGTTGGATAAGCACCATCATTCAAAGAAATAATCAAGCAGTAAACACGATTGCTTCACTGTCATATATATTGGTTGTAACTCTCAGGCCGGTGTACTAAAACTAGATTAGCGTAATCCTCGGGTTTCATGAGAGTCTACCTCATAGAGGCAACATGAAAGCAGTGTTTTTGCATTGGTCATGAACTGTGTTCGCTGTTCCTGTTTTGCTGATAGCGAGGCTGCAAGTCTAGAACCATTAGTTATACCGAAATTTCAACTTCAGACTAACATATGATCACGAAATGGAAACACCCTAGAGATGGTAGGCTTGGATATATTTGGAAATTGAAACTACTTTTGCACATTCGCTATCAGATAATCAGTTCTTTTTTCCAGGATGTATGTTCTTGTAAAGGATATTGGAGCCCTTAAAGGTTATGTCACGAGGTTACACGCCACTGGGCGGGGCCATCAGTCTCCTAGATCTGAAGGTCGAGGTGCACGTGTGGCTTTGGACCACACAACAAAGAGCCTTCTTCGGGGGATTTCGTGAATCAACATTATGCATTCATGCTGTTTGCACTTTTCGTTCATCTGCCTCACCACCTTTACTAAACTTTAAGTATTAGTTACTGTCAAGGCCAGAAACTTTCACGGGCAATCTGGAATTCACTGTCATCCACCGCAGTGAACGTGATCCATACTTGTCATTTCACGAAAGTGTGCATTGCTCAACGTGGGAACTGCAAACTGATGAGGGTTACCTTTTTTCTACATGCCGTTCAGGTAACGAGTGGCATGTAATGCAGATGTGACTTTGCGAGCGCGTCTTGTATGTAATGCATGGTCGTGCGTGCACATGTGTACACAATTGAGAGGGAGCAACCTGGGCCGAGACGTGACTCAAGGGAAGGAATCATGTGTAAACACAGCAACAAACAAATGTGTGGTAGAGGGAGAAAATACGATTCGCTCAGAGTAGAAAATAGTGAAAGCCAGAAACATCTTCCATGATGTCCAAAAGAGATCGGCCCCCTAGTTTCTTCCAACTGAGGGCGCAAAAAGCCCCAGAATTATCGGGTCCATTTTTCGGTCGAACAGTTACGACAGGTGGGCGTAGAATGTGGATGCACAGTGGATACTATTATGGGAAATCTGAGGAAGAGAAGGATCCTAACAAATTATACCGGGATGGAAGATTGCAAACATGAGCCAGAAAGTCCAGGCCGATAGGAGTCGTTGGATAAACCACAATCAGAAGAGAGAAAAAAACAGTACGTCATAAGTAGGGCAGTAAAATGAGTCAGGAGTTCACAGCTAGAAGAGCTCCAGTTTGAGGATTGCTGTTCCGTGCAATAAAAAGGCATTCCGTATGAACCACTGTGAATATGCTTCAGAGACTGGTCCAAGAGAAGAGAGGAGTGATTGCATACAGGCCTATTGTAGAAAGCCCCTGGAAGGTGGGTGGGTGGATGAAGGAATGTTGAGCTAATCCTTTTGGACGTCATTAACCAACGTGGATGCTGCATTGAAGCCAACTGGGGTAGCTGGGAAGGATCCCGGTTGATCGGTGACCGGAGATTGTTCATTTAGTTCTTGTGGTGAGTTGGAAGCGTTCCTCGCCGCCTCCTGAATGAGACAGAAATAACAATCCATTGTTCAATGGTTAAGACAAGAATTCCAGTATCCCGAATAGAATGCGAAACCCTCGAGCAAACTACGGAAGGAAAACAATGTCTAAGGTGAGAAAGCACCATATTGTGTGGCTGCTTACCGAGTTGGACAGGCATTGGTGTTAGCTTCCGAAGTCATAATCAGAGTAGCATGAGTATGGGCTTCGAGACTATCAGCATAATACGAGGCTTGGGCAATCAGTCATTAAACCGCCTATTACAAAATGTTGTGGGTGGTTGCAACCGGTTAAAAACAGAATCACCGTTAAGGTTCGAATAACGAGAAACCAGTATTGTGACAACATAAATATGGAGGTAGTCTGTTATAAAATTCAATCAGGCTTCGAAATTGCGATGTGCGAAAAACCGCCCTTCGTAAGTCAGTTCACGAAGAACGGTTAACCATAGCCTTTTCCAACCATTAACGATTGCCTGCTATTTTGCATTTAGACCGGGCTAACCATCTGCTTTTTATTCATCCACTGACAGTCCTTCGGGGTTAAAAGGTGTTTGTTTCACGTACAATCTATGAACCCACAGGTGTAGCAGTCAAATGGTCGAGAAATCATATGCTAAGTCGAGTAAAGCCTGCAACCCTGCCGTATTTGACGAAATCTATAGCGTCATTCAGTCATCAACGTATTATTCAGAGAAAACGTTTGGACACGAGTGTTTAGGTGACACAAGCGGTTACAGTCCTGTTGCACACAACCCAAAATGTTGAACTAAACCGGGAAACGCCCATCAAACCTGGAAAAAAATTAGACTTCATGAATATTGCAGCAATCTGAAGGCTCTTTAGGTCTCACAATCTCTGCTAGTGATGCGCAGCATCAACGAATATCTAGAGAGTAATTAAAGGCGAATATTTAGTTGAGAGGCGTGGAATTTAATCGCCAAGATTACTGAGTGCGACAAACCGTCACGACTCAAGCATGCCATGAGCGCCATACTTCGTGACACAAACAGCGAGGTGGAAAACGCACAACTTGATGGAAGGGTATGAAGAAGACTAACGAAAGTTCGGGTGCCCTTTGTGCGGTACGCCCTCTATGATTCGGTTCCTGTTCGTCTATCTTCGTTTGATTAGAGGTATGGCAGAATACGAAGACTAACCAACGCCAGTAGCGTTCGTGCTGTCTGTTTCCGGTTTTCTAAGATTACGATGGGCTAGCACCGGGTCCCTTCTCTGTATACTTTACTTTTTCGAACTTGTGTTCTTTATATGGTAGTTCGGTGGCAAAAAGCAGGAGCTAAATAATAGTCATTGCAACGTATTAAAAGAATAAAAAAGGACAGAGAAATCATAGCAAGCGGTGTGGCCTGGAAGTACAATATCAGTGTGTATGACGATGGTGGTGAGGACGACAATGACAAAACTGCATACTACATGGGATAAGCTTGCTCATTCACTTGCTCTGCACCCTCTTGAGAGACCCGTTTGCTGATGCTGCAAACAGAGCTCAGTGGTGAAGTTCTCTAACACGAGATCACTTCCTCTTGGTCCTCTTAGGCGGTCTATACAAGGAGTACAGAGGGATTTCCATTTGTGCTTGTTTAAAACCGCTCTTGTTGCTGCTGCCACGAACCTCGGAGATGATTAAATTCATGGGTTCCCGTTCACCAATTGTAACAGCGGTAATGTCTCAACTCAGGTCTGGGTCTAAAACTTTTCGGCAAAAGAACCACCAAAGGTACATGGTGTGTATTGAGCGGCCAATGAGCGAAAGTCAGTCATGGACTCAATTGGACCGTTTGGCTATCAGTTACCGACGAACAGTCTCGATCAATGATTGCCGTTCCTTCTAGGATGAGCAACTGGACTCTGATTATGCCACTGTGCGGGCCCGGTTATCACTTCGCTTTCGATCGGCAATATGCGTCCAAAAGCAAAACCAGCTTCGGTAGCTCAAGAGTATCGAGCTGATCTGGCTAGAAGGTTAATGAAACGCATGGTCATGCGGATGACAAAGATCGCTCGGAGATTGAATAGAATCGAATTATAGAAGCCATGCTCTTAGCTTCCAGAACTGTCTGTCCAAATCATCCGACTCGACTATGTGAAGATTGAATATCATCGAGATCACAGGTCTTATTGCTGCCAGAAATGCTATACCAGCAACTAGCGAATATGGTGGGGCACTCAGATCCCTCGAACGGCGGATACTCAAGAACTTGACGAATGACAGAGAGCACTGGTGTACTGCAAAAACCCCGGTGACGGAAAAGGCTTTCGCTGAAAGCAACAGCCGCACCCTATTTCAGCTGGTTCGATCGGCCTGCCAAATGAAGACAAATATTAGCGAAAACGTTTTGTGAAAAATATGGACAACAGAATCGTCTTGAGCGATGTGTTGAACACTTCAAGAAACAGTTCAGCTGGTCTTGTTCAACAAAACCACTGGAAGGACCTAGCGGGTCTGAATGGAACACTGACACCAGCTCGGTGCCAATGACAGAAATAGAGCGTGAAATACGATTAATTTAACGCGAAACGGCCTGAACCCCATACTCTTCAATGAAAATGGTGAGGTCCTGATGAACAGTCTGACGACCGAACTGAATGCTTGGAACGAAAACAAAATGTCAATGGGATGGAGCTCCTCGATTGTGACCCCACGTTGATCAATTATCAGGAGAGACGAATTCGTAAAAATCAGGCTGAATTTCACACTGACCCAAGATGATTCGACCACATCTGTAACTTGAGACAAGTTCTTGAACCGCATCAACATTTCAGAAGTTCCACGTTGGTCGTTTTTCTTGACCTGAAAGCGGCCTTTGACTGTCGATCGGCAGAAACTTTGGCAGTCTGGCAATCAAAAGTGTCCCTTCCAAGTTTGTGTTCATTATAAGGACACTGTTATGCGAACTCCTGTGGGCGCGTACAGGTACACAGCAAGCTTTTGCCTGAGTTCACCAAGTCTGGTGGTGCGAGACAAGGCTGCCTCCTCTCTCACCTTTCCTCTTCAACTTTGTCACTGACGCAAGCTTGAAATTTCTCTGCCTGCCTCTGAAACCCCAGGAGTCAAAATGCTCCCGGAAAGTTCGCTCATAGACAGTGAGTGGACGAACGATATTACGTTCCTTAGTTCAGATCCTTCAAAAAAGCAAACCATTTTAGATAATCCTAAATAACTCTATCGCACGGTTTGGTATGAGCCCCATACCTGCAAAGCACTGTTACAAGACTGAGTGGGATCAAACCCACGCTTCATGCTTGCAGGCGAGCCAATCGACGTAGTAGATAAATTTGTTTGTCTAAGTAGTTGTATTAGTTTCGGTGGACTGGCTGGAGGCGAGATTACTTCTCGAATCGGGAAGACCAGGGCAACTTCTGCGAATCTCCGAAACCTATGGCACCATCGTGAAGTCAGCTTGTATGTCAAGGGCAGATTTCACACTGGGGAAATACGAGCCATCCTGATCTGTGGATCATAAACGTGGCCTCTATGCGTAGTGGGCACAAGAAAGATGTCAATGTTTGACCATCGTTGTCTCCGAAGCATTGATGGGGTCTGGTGGGAACACCGGATCAACCATGCCGAGGTATGTCGGATGATGAGGTTACGTTGGTTAGAAGAAGTAATCCACATGCCACGGAACCGTCTGCCTCGCAAAGCTCGTTTCGCGCAGCCTGCGGTGAGTGGAATCGACCAAGCGGTAGACAGTGTATGATCTGGCAACGAAGTATGAGAACCCTAACCAGTAAACTGAATCGGATGGACAGCTGCCGCTTCTCTTGGACCCAACTCACCAACGGCTAATGACACTGGCAGAAATGACCCAGTCGCACAGTCAGTGTCACTCGTGCGTGAAAGCTATCATCTCCAGTGCTTAGCTACCCAGTTCCCGAACTTCATTTGATGATTTTTGCTTGAAGTTACCAGGCATTTTGCAGGAAGTTATACATCCAGTTGCGTAAATTGCCTATTGACAACTTGACAAGAACAGTCAGAGCAAACCTAGCTTAAACCCAAGAGCGCAGCGACAAGACAGCGTAACGCAACAACGCATTACAATTGAATTCAACAAAAGTAAAATAAATGGATTACACCGATCTGTGTACACACGAGCGCAGGGTCCCTCGATAGACCACATAATGCACAGAACAGAAGAGCAACATGCATACGTTGTAAGACCGGGGTCAAATCAACATAGTATCTCGCTAAAAGTCTAAGTTTCAACATATTTGCAGGGTACGTAAGAGCTTTACCCCAAACGCCTGCGAATGCCATAAAGCATTCAGGAACGGATCGATCAGAAGACCTTATGATTAAAGGACCAGGCAACTACTGAGGAGAGATGGCCCAAGTGGTAAGAGCGCGAATTTACTGACTGGAAGGTCCGTGGTTCGAATCCGACCTCCGCCTCTCGACTTCCCCTGTCTAGGCTTGGGCAACCTGGCAGTATCCCAGCCCTCGTGCTACCTTCGGGTGGCATGGCAGCTAGGCACCGAAAGGGAGCTACAGCTGAACGTTTTTTTGGCCCAGACGAGATTATGACCCAATCTAACCATTCAATGACTTAATAAGAAAGCTTGACACTATACAGTGAAAGTAAAATTAATGTGTAAATGAGTGTATTTGTCGAAATCAGCTCAAATTGAGTTTGAGTAGAACATAAGAATTGACGGAAACTAGGGGACTGTGAATACCCAAGAAGGGCGAAACCGGTTGTGGAATGTCGAAGGGCGTTCAGCCATCTTGTGAGCAGTTTCCAGTATGAAAATTTGACATTAGTGTTTCTACGCAGTATTTGATCAACCACACACCAAGCAATCCATATAGTTAATTAGATTATAGTCAATGCAGTCACCTGACCAAAGGTTCCAGTCAGCCAAATACATTCATTTAGGAACACAACCTCTCACACTTCCCAGAGTGTTTAGAAATTTTCTCCAGAAAAATCTGGGGACGGTTGAAATAAAAGAATCATTGAGCATTGCTGCATACC